TATTTATTTATATCAAATGACAGGCGTTTTGATAGTCATCATTAGCCCTTTAGTTGACTTCAGGCTTCACAGAGGGGAAGGAACATCAAAGTGAAAAAAGTCGAGAGTAGCTGAACTGAAGAGTGTTTCAAAGACGAAGGTTGAAAATTTAGAAAAAATGTAATGTAGTACTGTGGAAGTGGTCGAATATGTCATGCAGTGGGGTCATTGTAGTTTGAAGTGAGAAGTCAACTGCCGGTTAATAGACTTTTTTGCCGTATGAGTATACGTTGCCCAGGGTACACCACATGGAGGTAAGTCTATCGCACACCCCGCAATGGTTATTATTGTTTATTATGTTTCTTACGACATTCTGCTCCTTATTCGGAAAATTTTTCGACCGTTTATACGATACAGTATTCAAACCTTTTTTATGTACTATGCTCAAAGAGACAAATGTTTAATTATTGTGGTCTTTTGAGTTTTCTTATTTAGGGAACAGCTTCCGATTTTCTTCAACATTTGACTGAGCCTTCCTGTTTCAATACTTTTTGTGAGCGAGTGGCAAGATGTTTCCATTTGAAAGAAGTTAGAAAGTTAACCATTATAATTTAATATAAATATGCCTATACATATGTATATACATATCTTAAGTGCTTGAATTCCAAAAAATAACAAAAGTTCTGATTATGAGAAAGTGCTTCAGTCATTGTTCGTCTCTGTCTTTGTTTTATGCGAAATTGTAAATATTACCATTAAAATTCCAAATCTTGAGACAACTTCTGGCTTTTAGTGCCCTTGTTCGGTTGTAAATAACTAGTCGATACTACCACAGAAAAATTATTATATCAATGAATTTCGAGAATATTTATAACGAGGAATTTTGTCATCTATTTATTTTTACTTATTTTCACCCCAGTTAAAATACGGTCATTTTTGTGCTTCGCAAGGTTTCCCATTTCGTCTTATATTAAGAAATGTCTCGTTATTTCAGATGATTTAAGTAATTTAATTGTATGCTAATGATTACAAGACTGGGGTAAATTGAGCAAAGCAGGAGTATAGAGAAAAAGTGAAATTAAAGAAAGTGATTATGTAGTTGTTTGACTTGAATAAATACAAATTCAAGATGAAAGAAAGGTAGAAATCAATTACTCTTTCACTCAGTTGTGCCTAAATTGGAACTTATGAGTACCAACCCACGGTACCAGTGATCCATGGCAAATTAAATGACCAAGCATCAATGTTTGATTGTTGCAATAGAAAGTGAAACAAATGGTGGTTGCAAAATTGCATTCCAGATTTGAAATTAAAAGAGACTAATAATAGAACTGAGAAAGCGGTTGAATTGTTGGCTATAGAGCTTAGATGAAGTAGGAGAATCGTGGTTTGCTGGTTTTACCGGCTCATCTGTCATTTATCGTCAAGTTGGAACATCGTGCTAAATAGGATATGCTTGTATATTTCTAAAGCCCTGTTCTTGACGGGGCATATTTTCTATTGTATTGCAGATAGCTAATTTAATTAAAGATGACTCATATTTCATTCAACTTGCTTCCTTGACCTTTACAATGACAAACTTGGCACGCCGCTACTTTTTGACAGGAATTAAACTGAAAAAAGCTAGTTAGAAAATTGTACGAGTTAGATCGCATACGAACAATTAAGCCGCACTTAACCTTGCTAAGGTATTGACCTATAGCATTTTTAAAGAAAAGCCACCAATGCCTTCTTGAGCAGAATCACGGTCCAAAACACCCACCATAAGTCCTCCAATTATCGCAAGGAGTATCAACAGGAATCATGCAAACATGCTTTCGATTATGATACGCATTACACATTGATCAATTGTAAGTTAAATCAAACCAGTGAATTTTCAATTCTAAATTTAATAAGATGCATCATGAAAAATCAATAATTCACCGAATAAATAACTCAGAATTAAAGCTCTCTATCCAAAGTATTATTCGTTTCCCCATTGTCGGTGTGGTTCATAGCTATGCTAATTCTATTTGAGCGAGTTAATGAGCTCGAATTTCATAATCAGCAATGCATTAAACGCCTTTAAGAGAATAGACACGTGCTAGAGTCGCCTATAACTTGCTTTTCAAATTTTATGACCGTTTTAGTGTCAAACCTACGATTTATATGCATGCAACACTCTACCTCACCTGGCCAGTTAAATCTTTACCGTCAATATTGAAGTAAAAAGACACAGACATCACTACTACTACTACTACTTTGAATGAGCTGACAATTGAGAGAACAAAAATTGATATTGACAATTCTTCAAGCTCTTTGAATTGTTGCTGTTCATTACTTTGAGTCAGATAATGCACATTCATTTTTTCTCCAGAAAGGGTGCCGCTAACGTTGTTGCTGAAAATTTAAAAATAACTCAAAATATCAAAGATTATTCCTCTGAAATTAACATCGAATATCATCTTACTGTTAACATTTTAATATCCCTCTAAATTGTCCTAAATCAATGCCCACAATATTAGCATCCACTAGCCTGAAAATTTCACTTTTAATAGCCCGCCTTAAACGAAGAAGTGGCTAAAATCCAATTTCTAGGTCTGAAGTTCCTCTGTTTTTAAAATTGGCAAATGCTTAGCTTTCAGTGTTAAGGCCAGATGATAGTCGTGAAAGTGATTATATGGCTTTGTTTATTTATTAACGTTTCAATTAATTAGGCCAAAATAATAATTTAAGACCGAAAAAAACATTTCGATTGTTTATTGATATGCTTCGCGTTTGAAATTTGTATAATCAAAAAGCTGAGATTCATTAATTCGTTGAAGAATTTAAGATTTCATCCGAATCTAAAATAAATAAAAATTACACTTATTCGAAATAATAAAACATGGCAAGTTTCAAACTACTTATTATAGAGTGACCTTCGATATGGCAAAGAAAATGAGAAATTTGAATATAAAACACTCCCTTACAACATGGTGATATCATTCCAAATCATTGATAAATCTATTTTGCACTAATATTTTTATGAAACATGTTAAACGAAACCTTAATTCCGCTGTAATCTTTAATGAGTTCAATGATTTTGTATCAGATCATACCTTGGTCTACCGGTAATTGCTAACCACTCATCAAGTTGTTCGAGATAGCGTCGAAGTTCCTGAACGTTGCGAAATACCGGCTTTCTGTCCAACGAAAACTCATAGTTTGCGGAGAAAAGATCCTCCATATCTGGTCCAATGTATCTGGATTCCGTTCCTAACACCAAAGTCGTAACGAATATGAAAAAGCACAAGAAGTTGAAACATGAATATCGTCTGTCCACTAGCCTGACGTTTTTCATCTGAAGAATTAAAATTAAATAATGATAAAAGCTGATTTTTTCGTAACCAACCTAACATACTAAAAATTAATTATAGACAGGTGATTCTGGGAAAAAAATTGAAAAGGACCTAACGACTCGAGAGAATGGTGATTTACATTAATTACAGCAATGAAATAAATATGCAATATTTCAATAACGCATTCAAAGAAAATTATAATTTAAGTATTTAGCCAATTCAAATATTATTCAATAAATTGAAAAAAATGCAGTATATTTGAAATAATGCGTGTTAAATAGTTAAAGGAATAAGGAGCTTTAATTTACCATTTCAAAATTACTACCCAGCATGTGGTTCTTAACCAATCAATAAGCCGCTTATAAACGAGATTTTATGTTTCTAAGAAATAATCAATTTTTAATACTTAATGAAAATTGATTTTTTAAAATTGATCAGTGGAGATGGCAAATTAATCGGACCTTTAAAAAGTGGATAAACCAGTGATTTGGTAGATACACTCGAGCTTATATCCGCTAAATCAGCTCATCCGATTCGTTGCACTTCCGGCCAATTAAGGGAAGGGTTGAGGCAAGTTGGAATCATGTCCAATGAGCTTTGTAGAGTGCTGCCAAAGATTCAGGTTAGCTGCCACAATCATTTCTACTTTAATCTATGCCAATCATATCTTTTAACAAGATTTCATCGATGTGATTTTATTCAATAGACTAGGCTCCTTAAATGGCGTTACCGTATTGTTGTATTTTATTTTCATATTATTACGTTCAATGCACCTTTATTTTCAAGACACAGTTTCTATGATATAACCGTAAAATCTCCATCTGATAAAAGTTTAAATAAGTTATTATCAAGACAATATTCTCCGGCGCAAAAACAATTAAAACAACTAATTGCTATTTCAAAATCCCGCTGAACATTTATAAAATTCAGGACTTTTGATATTTAAAAAAAGGTAAGTGGGATCAATTAGAAAGCAAACTGCTGAATAAAATTGAGTTTCAACTTTACACTTTAAAATTGTATATATTCACTAATCAAACGCTTTAAAGGTGCTAGGAAAGCTGGTAAACACGTTATTAAAAGAATAAATTTTTTAATAGTTAATTTTTAAAGTATATGATATTTGCAGCTTTATTGATGAAGTTTTATAATTTTAGTAAATGGTTGGTTCGGTAAATTCTAAATGGGAATTAATTAGTGGCATCAAATATGCAAATGTTACGCTGAAAATACAAATAAAATTCGAGTATTAAAGAAGCAACAGAAGATGTAACAATACAATAATAGGCAAATCATAAAGCAAACATCCCACTTAAGAAAAAACGGAAAAATAATTATTCCAATTACTGTAAACTATTTTTAACTCCAGTTATCATTTCGGCTTTTGGATGCTCCCAAGTTCGAAGGTTTCTCCTACGATCTGCAAAACCGGTATCCAAGTGGGAAGAAGGCGGACCATGTTCTCGTCGTCATAGCAGTAACCCTCTGCAATTTGACCCAATATATATATATATATATATATATATATATAATTTTATATGATTCATTATTTATCAAATAAATTATTTTCGCTTCTTTTAATTACTCTTTTTTATTAAAGATTATATAAAGATTATCTGCCATTGTTCCCTCTCCCTTACTACCGGATCTATCCACTTCCTTTCGGGTTGGTTTCGGGCTTTTGTTTCGTGTATTCACAACGGGAAATTACAGTCAATATTGATTTCAGGTTAAAGATCTCCATTATCTATCGTTCCAACAACTATTACCTTAGATTTAATTTTCAATTCATTGACTATTTTAAGAAATAGTTCATAGTGTGCTGTCTTGCAACCAATCATTAATCTAATCAGGCGAAAAGAAGTTCGAGTCTCTGCAGCAAAGAGTCACTTTAGAGCTGATTTTACACTGTTGTGGTCTCTTGAAGCTTTCCCTGCTACCATGCCTCTACCCAAACGGTGCTGGTCTGAGATCCCTTCGATGTGACAATGCCTTCCTTCGGTTGCTCATGTTCTGCTTCATTTATTGAACACATTTATTCAATCTACTAAACTCATCTGGGTCTCTTACAAAGTGCGCAATAGTGGCGCCTTATCACCTTCACATGCTTATTCATTCTATACTATTTATTTTCCCAAGCGTGTTCGTCCTGATCTCCCCCGCCCCCCTCTTGTCACTAATACGACCTACTCTACGTCATCGGAGGAAATGAGGCCTGATGACGCAGGTGGGTTTCAATCTCATCAGGGGAAAGCACGAACGCACCCATACTCTGGCCTATGGATGACGCAAAGTTGAGTTAACTTAATTCTTCAGTCTATGGGAGAAAAATCTACTCATATTAGTTAGAGTGTTATATTTGATGACACCAAATGTACCATTTTCATCCCAGTGTATTGTTCATATGCCCAGAATATACTTCATCTCGGCTTCCTATCAGTTTCAAAATATCCTTAATAATTTGGTAGTCTGTTTAGTGGCCATTTATATACCCACTTAGGCAAGATTCTAAGAGAAAAAATAGGACTTTGCATATATATATATATATATATATATATATATATATAACACTTGTAATATAAAAATTCCAGAACAGCTTCATTCGAGTCCTACAAGTTTCTATGCTAACAACTACTCAAATTGGATAGGAATAATTCAATGAAGGACGAAGAGAGGAGGATTAAATTTAATTTTAGTTTAAAGTTATACAATACTTACTTAATGAACAGTTAATTACCTCAATGCCTAAAATTCGTTTCTCACGAATCGTATCTACAGTAAAATTCGAAGTTTCAACCAAGAAATTCAGTCCTTATTGTCAGCTAATATTTATTTATATCAAATGGCGGGCGTTTAAATAGTTATCATTAGCCTTTTAGTTGATTTCGGGCTTCCCAAAGAGGAGGGGGAACATCAAAGTGAGAAAAAGTGAGTCACAGATGTAAAAGAAACAGACAGACAGGCAGACACAAAGGCAGAGAAAAGGTGAGGTGAGTACTGTGAAAGTGGTGGAATATGTCATGGTGCTGGGTCATGGTAGTTTGAAGTGAGAAGTCAACTGCCAGTTAGTTCTGGTAGTTTGAAGTGAGAAGTCAACTGCCAGTTAATAGGCTTTTTTGCCCAGGGTGCACCATGTGTAGTTAAGTCTATCGCACACCCCTTGTAAACTAATATAATAATAAAGGTCTGTCTAGCCACTTAAATTCATTTCACCTCCGGATAGAGAAAAGGCATCGTGATCTGACACGATCTTAAGCTCTTTACATAATCTTTGACTGGAAGAATTCACTCAAGAATTCCAGTCTCAAGGGCACTCCAGTTTTTGCTCCATCTTTGAATAGCACGTTAAATATTCCTCTTCTAGGCTTGATTTTACCAAGTTATTCGCAACGGGTTTAAAGTTAAAGTCACCTCAAGGAAAGCTACGAGAATTCATGTTTCATGCAAAAAAATTTTTTATTAATGTAAGTATTTGACGGGAAATTAGAACAATATCAAAGTATTTAAAGCTTATGCTTAGTCAAATTTGACGTCGTCAATTGTTTAAAACTTCTATGTCTAATTGAAATTTACTTATTCATATTGCATTTAAAAAATTACATGATGCTTTGGGTATTTAATCTTAATTTTAATCGGATTAAGTACTAATTTTCAAAGACTGTAAGATAAGGGACCTCACATTTATTTAAAAAAAAACGTTTTGGGAAAATATAAAAGGATCGAACACCTGCGAATTCATTTAACAGTGCTAAATTTATCCACTTGGATCAGTTGAGTATTCTAAATTTTAAAAAATTAACATTTAAACTACTTTACAAAAGCGCCTTTTATAAATAACTTAATGGAAAGCAAATCTCACAATGCACATCACCATTTAAGCAGGTGTTAATTGATTATTACAAAGACGATTTTATAGTTTTTTTTTATTATGTCATTTATGCATTTTCAAAAGATGAGTGGCTTTTAAATATTAACTAGAAAGTAAGGACAACACTGGTTTGCTTTTGAAGCATTTAAAATTCAATCATGCTTTGGATGGCATTGTACGGTTTGCGGTAAAGCCATGTTCATTTATTTCCATCAAGTGGCAGTCTTAATGATAATTGTCATGAGCCCTTTAGTTGACTTCGGGCTTCACAGAGTGGAGTTACATCAAAGTCACAAAAAGTCGAGAGGGGTGGGAAGGGGGAACAGAAGAGTAATCCACAGATGTAAAAGAGACACAAAAGTAGAGAAAAAGGTAGATAAAAGGTAAAGTGAGGTGAGTACTGTGAAATAGGTCGAAAATGACATAGAGTCGGATTATGGTAGTTTGAAGTCAGAAGTCAACTTCCGGTTTTTAGACTTTTTGTCGCATGAGAATACGTTGCCCAGGATGAACTACGTGGAAATATGTCAAGCGTCCGCCCCAAAGCTTAGTTCATAAATTATAGGAATATACTTAAGTTTATGTCAAACCATATTGAATAGGATTTGGTGTGCCATAGACTTACCTCCACGTGGTGCACCCTGGGCAACGTATACTCATACGGCTAAAAGTCTATTATTCGGCAGTTGACTTCTGACTTCAAACTACCAAGACCCCACTGCATTTCATATTCGAATAATTTCACAGTACTCACCTCACCTTTTTCTACCTTTGTGTCTGTCTGTCTCTTTTACGTCTGTGAATCATTATTCTGTCCCCCCTCTCGACGTTTTGCCACTTTGATGTTCATCTTCCTTTCTGTGAAGCCTGAAGTCAACTAAAGGGCTAATGATACCTATCATAACTCCTGCCATTTAAAATAAATAAATAAATAAATATTGAATAGGATTATTTGCAATCATGATTACACATACATCCAAGCCATCTATTAGCAAACTCTACCCTAACTTCTAATTGTCATTCGTAGTAAGTTATAAGAAGCGAATGATTGACTTAACATTGAAAGCAAATGGATTCCTTCTAGTCTGTTTGTATGAAAGATAGCTCAAAATTCTAATTTTCGTTAGCCTGCCA